AGTACATTATATTACAGGTATGGAATGTCTCATCTACAAGGCTCAGGTAACGAGGAGGTGGGTTGGGAACGATGGAGGTGTACAGTTTGAGAAATGTTACGCGACCTGGCAACATCCCATGGACCTCACCCCATACATCACAAACATCACATCGTCCAGTTTTTACAAAACTAAGATAGCTAATAGAGCGATGCATAAAGCCATAAATGGTTACTATTGCAAGGAGAGAAATGACTGTTTCATGACAGGTAGAGAAACCAATGGTTGGTGGAGGGCAGACCTGGGAGCACCACGTGACATTAAAGAAATCTGGATACAAGCTAGGAGAGACACATTTATGAACAACACCTTTCAAAATGTGGAGGTGCGTCTAGGTGACTCTCCCAACTATACGGGCAACCCTGTGTTTGGCACGTTCAATGATCCATATCAAGTGGGAATGTTGGTCAAAATCACCCGGAAATCTGCAATGACTGGCCAATACCTACAGATGCAATCTCTAGTGTCATCCCTGTTTTTCGGAATATGTGACCTTCAAATCATTGGAAATTAACGACAAGGACCGGATAAACAAAGACTATATTATATATACACAGTGTAATTTCAAACCCGGCCCCGAGACTAGTTCCCTATCTACTATTGTGTCTCCTCATCTCCCACATTGTCTCACCATGCTGTATTTGATACTGTGTCTTTACCTTATCTAGTGCATCCCCTAACTGAGCTAGGTGTTGTTGATGTTCCTTCTCTAACTGTTGCAATTGTGTGCACTCTTGTACATATACTCCCCCCTGATTTGGTTCGCCCATGCCTTACATTCCCCATTCATCTTCCCTTCTAACTGTTCCAATCGTTCCTGGTACTCTCCCCGGATTTTCCCCTTTAGTTTCCCAATACGTTCCACGAACTCTTCTCTCAACTGTACCAAACCCGGACTGTCTCTCCTTTTCTCCGAGTAACCCCGCACCGTCAACCACAACAAACCCATTCCCACGGCGAGCATGAGTAGAGTTGGGGTCACACTCTCTACCGTTTCCATCCACTCCATGATTACGCTCATTATCCCAACCACAGAACTATCAGTCACGAAATAAAAGTAACTACGCTCTGCTACCATTTGTAACCGGTCGGAATTTACTGGACTTTATTTTCTCACTTGACTTGGGGTTTATTAAAGATTATAAGATGGTAATGGCAGTGGAAGCGCCCACTTTGAGAAAAATCCCGAACCAGCACAAGAACACTTAAATCTACTAAACAAAATGAATTGTCCGTGACCCGTGGAAGGATAGCGTCTGTGACTGGGATGAATGAGACACACTGTAAAATTTAGACACTTATATTCCCTCCAACACTACAAACACAATCAAATAATGGTACACCAATATGCGCACCTCTTAACTTGAACTTCAAACACTACTCTGGGGAATAGAAGTTATACATGATATAGAAATTATTAGAAAATCAGGCAACAATAAATTTGAAGTATTAAGAAATGTTGCTTGCACACCTGAAACAGGCCTTAAGGGCTTTCACAGAATAATATCCCCAACTGCGGAGGTGGTATAAAAATAAGAAATTATCAATTCCACCATGAATAGGCCTAAAGGGCACTCAACAAAATAATATCAGTCACTGAGGAAATGGTAATAAAAAATAAGAAATTAAATACTCTACAATGAATAGGCCTTAAGGGCTTTCAACAAAATAATATCAGTCCCTGAGGAAATGGTAATAAAAAATAAGAAATTAAATACTCTACAATGATAAATGTGGAAGCAGCAACTTATAATATGTTAGCCAGGAAATTGATTAAAAATAAGAAATTAAATATCTCTTACAATGAATAGGCCCAAGAGGCACTCAACAAAATTATATCACCCCAATGGTGCACTCTATTTTCTTCTTAAACTGCTACTCTGAAACAAAGGTTATACCTGAGATCGGAATTATAAAGAAAATTAGATGCGTTAAAGAATCCAAATCACAGTGTCAACTCTGGTTCCACTTAGCCTTTGAGCATTCAAAACAATACTATCAAAATTATTTAGGAACTATTAAACTACACACGTCCAGATAATATCAGTAACTGAGAAATGGTATTAACTACACCCGTAATAAGGGAGGGAAGATGTTCCTCTAGGTATCTCCTAGAGACCTAGACTCACGGTCTCAGTGTGTGACCATTAGTTTACTCAGATAGCCTCAGTGTACTCCCAGTGCGTCCATAAAGCAGAAGGGTAGGCTGATCAGACGCCCATACGGTTGAAGACTTTGCTTCCGTTAACAAGAGGTTCTCGCTTGCTTGAGGACGCCTTGTGGTAGCAGAGGCCGAGGTAGAGAGCTGCTTGACCATGATCGTCGTCATCGGCTGGGCGCCAGACGGCTAGATTCCTCGAGATGTTGATACCGCTAAACAGTGACAGGCCTACACTGCTCCGGTCAATGGCGACAATCATACCTCAATCATCAACGGTCAATCTCGCAGTCGACTTCTTGGCTCGTTTACTTTATCACTGCCCTATCTAAACCCTGTCTGAGTTCGAATGAGACTTACTTGTTATACTGCAATAGCGCAGCACAGGTGACTAGGCCACGTGACTATTTCTGTGACGGACGCGCAGGGACGTCTTGTTTGCCTGACTGCTCCCCGTGACTGAGGACCAGCCAGCGTCGCGTCTCCTCTCAAGGCGTTAGCTTAGGCCTACGTGACATATTTTCCGCCTAACTAATAACTCCTTGGGACTTCCATAACATTATTCAGACTGATAAACGATCTATAATAATTTCTAATTCAATAATAGTCCCTTAACTTCATGAATCGCATCATTATTAATTCGGCAAATTACATTTAATATCATATAGGCTAGTTCCACAACCTCTCACTATGTGTAGGGATCGCTCTCTTCCCTCCGACGACCTTGAACGCTCAGTATCGCCAATGGCGGGGCATTCGAAATTACTCTGAAATTTCTGAATATTACAATCGACCCCCCTAAAAAAAAGACAGCACTGTCCTCATGTGCTGAGAAAACATGCATACGACCCCCCTAAAAATTTGTTCTAAGGACTGCATCTCACCCCTTTAACGTGCTAAACGCAGCATTTCTGTCTTCTCTTCTCTCCTTTTCTCTCCCGCTAACACTCGACCCCCCTAAAAGAAAACAGTACTGCCCTCATGTGCTGAGAGAACAACTTAGAACCCACCTTCAACTCTGTACTATTCCACTCGCAGCCAGCAACTCCATTTCTTCCTAGCCCAACTCAAAACCAACCAGAACATCACGCTCCCCTTTTGCCTGGCCCTTAACTAGAGAACCAATGTCAAAATTAATACCAGCCCAAAACAAACATGCTCTCCTTTGGCCTGGCCCTTGAACTAAGAGAACCAGTGTCAAAACAATACTCAGTCCATCTCAAACATACTCTCCTTTGCCTGGCCCTTGAACTAAGAGGAACCAGTGTCAAAACACTACTCAGTCCATTTCAAACATGCTCTCCTTTGCCTGGCCCTTGAACTAAGAGGAACCAGTGTCAAACAATACTCCGTCCACGTCTCCGAACCTCATGCCGGCAGACCAACCCTCTGACAATGTACCAGTCCATATAAGTGAGGCCCTGGACATTACAACCGTACTCTCAATCCCGCTCATGACAGCAACCACTACTCAACGCACATCTCTGACCTAACCATCTCTCCAATCCCCTCTGCCCTACTCACAACTCCTCCAACTCACCCTCTACAACCTGTCTTTTCTCATTACCATGCACCCTAAACTGTAATTTGTCGGCTTCGTGTTTCAGTTGCAGGCTCGATCGACCTCTGTGAACTACTTCTCTTCATCTTGCTCATCTGGGGTGGGGGCTCCTCGTCTTCATCCTCAGATTCATCCATCGCTGGGTCTCCCGGATGCCTTAGGGTTGGAGCAGCCTTCAAGTTGCTCCGGTTTTCCACTCTCGCTTCCAGGTCTTCTCCCCCACTGGGCTCAATGCGATATAAACCAGGCCTTGGATTTAGGACCTCAACAATGTGCCATCTCGTATCAAACCAATGGTTTTGCAGCTTACACCGGCCTATTTTTACATTGTTCCTCAGCAAAACCTCCTGGCCCACTTCCCAGCTATTCTCGTGGGCTTTCTCTTCTCTTTTCCTTCTGTTTATTTCCTTACGTCTCCGAACATTGATCTCCACTGCTTCCTGCAATCTTCGTTGCCGGTCTCTAATCACCATCACCCACTCATCTACCGGCTCTGGGTCTACTTCCGGCCTAAGGTCAAACGGCAGGTTTGGTTCTCTCCCGTAAAACAACAGGAATGGGGAAAACCCTGTCGTGGCATGCGGAGTCGCGTTATATTGTGACACCACTGCCTGCAGATGCTCTGGCCACCTATTCTTTTCCTCTTCCTCGAGGGTGGCCAGCAGACCGTGCAGGGTTCGATTGAACCGTTCCACCATGCAATTTCCCTGTGGGTGATATGCTGACGTCCTTATTTTCTTCACCCCAAAAGTGGCACAAGTTTGTCGGACCAATGCACTGCCAAAATTTCTTCCCTGATCGGTCAACAGTCGCTCAGGTGCACCCACTGCCAGGAAGATCCGATTCACCAGGATCTTTGCAATCGTCTAGGCTTTCTGGTCTTTGGTGAGAAAGGCCCAAGTGTAACGACTGTATATGTCAACCATTAACAGGACACTCTCCAATCCTTGCCGCTTGTCCAGCAAGGTGAAATCTGCGGCCAGTGTCTCTAATGGTTTGGCAGCTTCAATCGTCCCTAAATGCAGTTGGGGTTTCGGCACTTCATCTTTTGCTACTCCACACCTCTCGCAGCTGGCTATGTAGTCTCGCACTGTTTCTCCCATGCCTGACCAGAAACCTCGCTCCTGCACCAGCGACAGGGTGCGATCTCGCCCCTGATGCCCAAACTCGTCGTGGCAGGCTCTAGTCAAAGCCTCCTGCAAGTTTGGAGTTAACACTGGCACCTCCCTCCATAGATTCTTCCCTTCGGGTCTTCTATGCCAGACAACATCTTCTCTTACGATCAGGGATTTCCTAGCTCGGTACATCTTGCGGAAATCATCATTTTGGAGCTCTACCTGTACCTCATCCTCTGGCAGCTCTCCCACCAACCATCTTCGCAGTTTTGTCATATAGTCCATGCCTTCTTGCTCCTTACGCAGCCCATCCATCGTCACAGTTCCTTCCTTCCTGCCCCGTTCTCCTCTAGTACATGCATCGCTGTATACTCTTCTTCACTATCTTCCTCCTGTTCCGCCGGGATTCTAGATAGAGTATCCGCCACAATGTTGTTCTTCCCCGGCTTGTACTCTATAGTAAAGTTAAACTGCTCGAGATCCGCATTCCACCTACTTTCCACGGCACCTAGTTTAGCCTTCTCGCGGTGACTGAGTGGGTTGTTATCTGTATAGACTGTGAAATGTTTCCCTGCCAAATAATCCCTGAATTTATCCACTACTGCCCATTTGAGTGCTAACATCTCTAACTTACGAGAACTATAGTTGTTCATGTTACGTTCTGGTTTCCTCAGGCCCCGACTCGCATAGCACACCGGATGCAACCTGCCATCCTTCCGCTGGGACAGCACCGCACCTAGCCCACGAAAACTT